ATGTAGTCGGCGGGGGTGCGCTGAGGCCCAGGGCTGCACAGGGCTGGTCCCCGGAAATAGGCGTAACACCCCCCCACCACCACCGCCGCGAAGCGTTTCGGCCCAAAACAACCCCCCGGCCTAAAAACGGGACCGCGACCGCCATTACAGTGCATATAGATAGCACAGAGCTACGAGGTGCTAAGGTCGCTGAAACAGGGCTAAATTCACCTCTGTGTACAGTATCTGTGTTTGCGTGCGGGCAGAAGAGCTGCCTGGAAGAAGAGGCCGTCGCCAGCTTCCCTGCTCTCCAGGGAGCTGCAGCGGTTGTAGCACGGGCTCCTAGAGCTACACACGCTTGTTTAGGTAACCCTCTCTTTCTTCATGGTTTGCCTGTAATAAACAACAGTTCCCTGTCAAAAACAAGGCTACCACCAACAGAATGCCTCACTGTTATTGCTCGCACCGCACTTCACACAATGATTTCCAGGTATTTGAATATCTTCTACTTAACTGAAGAACAAAGATAAAACTTCGGACAGACCTTTTTCTGGGCCTTGCACAATGAACCGATGCTGCACCCAACGGCCTGCGTGCATCCGCGCACAGCAACGCTGGCTCTCGGGTAGCTACGTTGAGTAACGCGCTGGAAAACATCACGTTTTGCTTCTCCGGTTAGCATGGACTAGCGCTGCCAGCCTCGTTTCTAGCTTTCCTATTTCTTAAGGCTGCAAGCAACGTCAGAGGATCTTGCAGGAAACTTACTGCCCAGGAGCTTGAGATCGGAGACCAGCATCTACAGAAAGGCTTCACCAACTGCCTGTAGCTAGACGGGTCAAAGTACTCCACGAGCTACTTGTCTACATATTTTCATATTAACAGTCTTCCATAAATGTAATTTTTGAGGTTGAGTTATAAATGTATATCTGTAGTTTGATATTGTAATATCAAATTTGTAGTGTTTTCTAGTGTATATTACCTTTCAGGAATGCTAAAGCTTAGCAACTAGAAGAAACAACATTACTTCAAGAGTATCAGCTGGCAGATGAAAGAAATAGGAAGCCAGCATAAAGAGTACTACTGAGTTTCATCCTACATGCACTGACACTACTGGTAAGTTTGATCCTTGTATTTTTAGTGTCAGTGCTCAACTTACAGTAGATGCATGAGTTTTCTAGATAAAAACACACGCATTCTGAATATAATGGCACTGGGGGAATTGCTAATGCTGAGCAATCAGGTGGGATTGGGCTAAATTGTCTTTGGAAACCAATCTAAATTTGTAAATTAGTGCTATGTATTTATCTGTTGAAGTGACACAGTAAATAATGGCATCATATTGCACTTCAATTACATGCACATCATTAACAAGTAGAGGTGAAAAAGTGGATGAGCATGTAGCCTCAAATGTTTCTTTTAAGTGTTGATTTGGGAGTGTCATGTAAGGAATAAACTATAATTCACACAAAACAAAATTATTTTCACAAAGTCTCAAGTACAGCTAGAGAGATAAGTGGGTATTTTACAGCATCTGACTACAGTCCTTTTCCCATCTTTTTCCACTGGTAATTATCTCTTAATGTGTGGCAGCCTCATTATGCATTCTTTTATGCTGTGTTCCTTATAGGATGTCACAAGGCGCTATAAAAATAAATAATGTTACTGAAACAATTTAAAATGACAGCAAAGACCTATTGCTTTAATTTAATTTTTAAAGTTGTAACATGCCCCTAAACAAGCTATAAAGAGAAATTTCTATCTGTGTAAATCACCTCAACAGTCCTTGCTTCCCTCTTAGGTAAACAAAGAAAATGAAGCGGTTTCCCTCAAATTATTCATTAAGGGACTGCCATGCTGCAAGGCCCAAACGCCAGCGTTCCTTTCAGCTCCCTTTAAGCTTTCCCTAAAGGAAAGGACGTGCAAGAACCTGTGCAAGAAGGGCTCTTGGGCACTTACTGACACAGGAACAGCCCCTGCCACTTCGCCTGATGGGGCGGCCGCTCAGCAGCTACCCTGCGCACAGGCCGGGTAAGCGGTGGCATCAGCAGATGACATGCACCCCATGGCAAGCTTCTCACCTACCCTCTAGATGGGACTGCCTTCAGACAAGTAACTTCAGCCATGATAAACCTTGAGAAAACAAGGCCGCTCGTGTTCTTAAACATGTATTCCTCCAAATCTTCCTTGTCACGGGTCACGGTTTGTTGGTGTTCCTGACCAACATATGTTCGCGTTACAAACCATGAAGAAAGATCCAGTGACAAATCTGATGTAAAACTGTACAAGTTGGGTTCAATAAAAGCTTGTCATAAATGCTAATCAAACTTGCCGGTAATTGTATTAACATCTAATTTCATAACAGAGATGCTGCGTTGGTGAATCGAGTAAAATTTCACTGTTTGTTCGATTAAGACCTGTGGCAGATCAGGATATTGCCTGAGAGAGCGGAGCCAAGGTGGCAAAACGAAGATTTGGGAGAGGAGAAGTTTGCTGGTGTGGTATTTTTAACACACTTGTAGACCGCAGCCCTATTGAGGCTGGAATTTGAAAACATGGCTGCTTAGTTCTTTTTCCACTGCATTATTAGCAATTGGGCCGTTTAGATGTTAAGATGGGCTGCTGAAGTACTTATAATAAGATTTAAGTTTATATATGATAATGACAATCTGGCACCGCAGCAGTAAAACCAAACAGATTAATTACTTCAGACTAGCATGAATAATCAGATTATAGGAAACTGCAAATGAGAAACTAGTCTCTGAAATATTTCCATATATCTGTATTTTCAGAGACATGAATTGCTATGTACTGTAATTAGGGCCCTGCTGAAGATTACTGCATCATCTTCTTTCAGCAACGAAGAGAGTAATTTGGGGGTTAATCTTCACTCTGAGATTTATGCAACAAATAGGTTTCCATATGTCTTTGGAGCAGTATGTTTGTGACTGCCATCTGTTACTCAAGAGTAGTTTTATAGAAAAATAATGCAAATTACTTTCCTCTTTAATTACACTCGTGCTTTGCAATACCGTGTGCTGTTCTGATCTGGAAACGTGCCAGTTTGCCAGACTCAGAGGACAGATGTTTACTTAACCACCAACTTTCAAGTTACTTTATAAACAAGATATAAAGACTGTAAGTTATATTGTTTTAGGTTTTTTGTAATATGTAAAAACTCTAATTGTACAACTGTACACCTTTCAATGCTTTAGTAAAAGTTTGAAGAATACTATCAAAGCTCTTAGGGCTTAATAATCAATCCAGTACGATGCTTCTTCCATGAAAATACTTTGAAACCCAGTCTCTGTTTTAGCACTAAATTGAAAAGGACAGTATTTGTTTTAGGTCACATTGCAGTCAAATAGATCAACTAAGATTAAACATTTTATTCATGTCTGACACGGGAGAACCTCTGAGGGGAACGCTGCATGTGTAGGAAGTTGAAAATGGTTGACATTATAGTTTACTTTTTGTCACTACATATATGGGGATAGCACCGTAACAATGTTTTCTAGCTGTTGACTATGATGCAGATTTCTACATTTCAAAAAAAAAAAAAAAAAGGAAAATGTTAAAACCTTTTAAAACACCCAAATAAAATTCCAAGTTCAATCTCACCTGCCCTAACAGTTTTGCCTGAATACCACAGTTGAAACTCATCCAATAAACAGATGTTGAGTCCCAAACAAGATATGGCAAAAATTCTCTTAGTCACTGAGATGTATGTAAAGTGCATCTGTTAAAGCACCGAGATCTTGTCAAGAAATGCACTAACATGACTAGCAAAACGCAATTACTCCCTTGATTATATGCAATAAATACAACAATCTTTGCATACACATAAAAACCTCAGAAAATACTTGTGACTAGTTTACTGACACCTACATTTTTAGGAGAATAATAGATTAGTCTTGCTCCTTAATTCCCACTCTTGTTTCTACTTGTCTCAAATGATAGACACATTACTTCTAACTTCCAAAAATCTTTTTTCTCCTTCTATTCAAATGGAAGATTAGCTAAGTATAAAAAGAACCTCATACAGAACACAGAAAGCTCTGTGAAAATCCTTCTTTAATCAAGCTCTTTTGTTCAATGTGTAAGAAAGTGTAGGAATTTCTAAGCCTTAATTGTTTAAGTACAAGGCTTCAAAAAACAATAGAATGATTTGAAACATCGGTAGAACCAAGATCCTGTTATTCTGGCACTAATTGGAGTTCACAGGTCCCAGTCCTGCCAAAAGATAAGCTTATGAGGCAGTCTTTTCCAGAATGCCACCTAACTACAAGTCACGAACATGAGCTTTGCTCCTTAGCTTTTGGACTCTAGTAAATAATATAATAATACTTTTCACGTATATCCTTAACAACTCTGGTTTTGGCAGATGCCAGTGAAATTTATTACTATTTGATGACTATCATGTGACACTCCTTTAAATAACTGCCACTCATTTCCCAGTTCTACTAAACATCTCTTGCTCTGCCGGTGGATACTTCTGTGCTCATTCTACACTTTGTCTCAGTGCCTTCAATATGTCCTTCTTACTTTTAAAAAAATATCAATGCACAGGTTTAATTTTTTCGGTCTTTAGAAAGAGCGCTACTTTCCTTTACTCTAGTGACTTCAATGTATGAATTCTTCATATGTATATATGTATACATGTATATGTTGCAGAACTTTTTATACAGAAAAGATTAAGTTAAGCCATTAACGAGCAAAATTACACAAAGTATGTACAGTTCGGTCTCCCTCAATCCCAGAAAGGAAAAGCACTATAAGATTCTTATCTGTAAATTCCATGAAGTTCAAGGTTAATAAGATTAATGCTAAAAGTGGACCTTCTTCAAATTCCTTGCCAATCTAAACTCAGCATAAGCCACATTTAAACCCACTGGCCACATCCCAGGGTTTATACCATTAATGTATAATCAATTAAAAATTATTATACTTAATTCCACAGTATGGACAAAACCACGGGCAGACAGCGTTCCAGATCAAACATACAACTTGAAGGGAACCTAGTTCTCAGTGCAGCTTAGAGTTCGTTAACATATGGAAACCTAAATGGTTTTAACAATAATACTACAGAGACACCTACCCACATTTTAGTATTCTAAATGTACCAAAGGAAGCATTATTAGAGTGAATTCATTTTTGTAGATCAGTCAATATACATCTCCTTGGAGACCATGCTCGGTTTCAAAGATGTCCTGTAGTAAACTCCCACAATAGCCTGTATTCTGGCAACATCCCATAGCAAATCCTAACAACCCACCCGAGCTCTGCTACCGAAGGCCACGAGTGGAAGAGTGTAACAGAGTGGTACCAGGTGCGCGCAGGCGCTCCAGCGTGGCCTCCCGTGTCGCAAGGCATGTCCCAGGCACAGCTCGGCGAGAGACCACCACAACGCGTGCCGTCAGAGAGTTTCAGCCTCAGCTCTGAAACAGCAAAAGACTTCCACTCATTATGTGCAAAAAAAAGTAACCGTCATTATGCTGTTTTTAAACATCTCCATACCAACTTCTGGAAATTTTCTCTAGTTGTTCTAGCAAACAGACATTGTTTCTTGCTCTTTTATCAGAAATGAAATTAAAGTCTTTTTTTGCTGGGGGAAGGTTGGAAAGGGGAAGTAATTTCTCTTGGACTTGAACACACACTCTGTAGGCCATGCCACTGTGGTACAAACCTGGCAAAAACAGACTACATTTCTCTCCTAGTTAACTTGCTCAGTGCTGCATTTCTGCTTTTTAAATGATGTGCTTCAAAAAATGGTTTATATCATAAGATTGAATGTAATCCATTATAATTGACTCCTTCAGCAGGTCACACTCAACTACAAGCTGCTATGAAAAGGAAATGAATCTCCAAGTAAAACCAAAATAGAGAACCAAAGAGAGGGATGTGTCCCAAACACATCGTGTTTTCAGATCATCCTGTGTGCCCCTCCTTCCACAGAAAGCTCTTTTTAATGTAAATTGTGAATCTACAATCTTCCTCAGGCACCGGATGGTCCTTGCAGGAAAAACCTTTAGCAAAGGAAAGCTAGGAGGAAGAAGTGAAGGAGGGCAGTAGTTGAAAAGTTCTTTTTTTTTTTTAGTTTTTATATATTGTGAAGATATTATTATAACCAAAGAAACGTATAATTCTCTTCCAGATTCTGAATCAACAGCCTTAATACATTCCCTTCTTTCTGCTTGCAGGTAAATACCATACACTTGAAAAAGACTGAAAGGTACTAAGTAGAAACAGTTAAGAAGCAAGAACCGGAGCCAGCTGCTCTGTACTGATAGCTAGCACATGTTCCTAACTTCACAGGACAGCATGCAGAGCATGAGTCAGGGCCTTTCCGATTAAAGTCCCTATGATATAATGAAAAGGACTTGCAAAACACCCTTGTTATGTGTCATCATCTCTCCAGAGCATAAGGAAAAAAAAGCTAACATAGCATTACAGTATGGCAGTTGCGACTGGGAGACGAGAAAAACAATATAATGACTTGAAGCACTACAACACGTGGGTCTATTCTTGCAGAATAATGCAGGGTTTGGGGGCAGAGAGAACGGTTTCTGCAAGCTTTGTACGCTGGCAGCATCGGGGATGCCATCTCAGCTTTGGGAACACTGTTGTCAGACAGATGTGCCTCTATGAAAATCTACATCTTCACTTCTGCACATGGCAAATTTTTAAAATCCTGGAGGAAGAAAAAGCAGGAAATTCCAGCTCCGTATCTTAGGAGAAATGAAAACAATTCTCAGAAAGAAACAACAACCTTCAGTAATGGATTTTTTTAAAAGTGTTTTTTAAAAGTGAAATATTCATGCAATATTTCTTACTAGATCATAACAAATTTAAGACAACATTATTAACAAATAGTTAACAGTTATGTTAATCTGCATTGTGTAGTTTAGATGTCAAAGTAGAATACAATGAATTCAGTTTTGGACAAAGTCATTGAAGAAGTATTTCAGAGAAGGCGCATGGGGAATTCCTTTACATCTGATTAAACTATTTTCAATATCTATTGCTTTGATAACATTTTTGCTAAATGCATCAGTTCGCTCTTCAAAAAGGATGTGGCTTGACATTCTGCCTGTTTTACATTTTTAGAAGACTTTTCATATTAAGTGATTTTTATAAGGTGCATTTGTGCCGCTTACTGGACTTTCAGTGAATTACACTTTTAAATGCAGTTTGGGGCTTGTTTCAGTTAAATCAAATAGTCTTAATAGATTGTATTCATAATTATTACTTACACAATACCTCTACCTCTTAATAAGAAAATTAGTGACTATTTTTCCATTCCCACTATCAGCAACTTTTTTATTTCACGTTTTCTAAATCAATTTCATTGCATAAATGATAACTAACATTAACAACTCTTCCCTGTTTTTCTTTTTGATTTGGGTGGGAAACCCCCAAAGACTGTGTATATATATATACACAACTTGAAGTAAGGTGTCATTTAGTACGAAACACTGAGTCAGGTTTTAGCCAAAAGCTAGTATAAAAGTACATTGGTCTTCTAAACTCCATTTAAGGCGTGAACATTTGAGCGGAGACCTTCGTCTCTCGGGCAGTGAACATACGAAGGCGCCTTGCAAAAGGAGAACTAAGTATCTGCAGGCTGATGAATTGTTTTTAGCAACTATACTTGATCGGGTAAAAAATCCTATTTTACAAGTAAGCGTATTTTTCTTATTTTGTTGTGTGTGACCCATGCAACCATAAAAAGGAAACACAAGCACTTTTTTTTTTTAAAGAAAAGAGTCTGG